CCCCAAAACCCCAAAACCCCAAAACCCCAAAACCCCTCCAACCAAATCTCCCATTGAAACAAATATCCAAACTCAGGGTTATCTCCTTCCTATTTCGTACACTCTCTTCGTTTCAAAATCTTCTAGCCTATAAGCCACATCACAAGGCCCATTCCCCTCTACAAAGCCCTTGACCTCTTCAAATCCCTCTTCATCAATATCCAAATTCACAAAGACTGTTTCCAACTTCTTCCTGACCCAGGGTAAGTTCAAAATTTGTACCAGCCCCAGTAAAGACTCATCATATACTGATAACACAACAGGTCATTCTACCATTCAGCTTTCAAAGGATACTTCTTTGAGTGTGATTTCTCTTCCCGGCTTGGAGCTAGTCTCGACTTTTCGAAACTCGCAACAACAAAATTTAAGATTTTTAAGTGTAGAGATGCCTCTGAAAATCTTGATCGTCTGCTTCCCAACAAGTCTAAAATAGCTCAAAGTAAGGGTTTTAGTCATATTGGGGAGTATCTTTAGAATAGGACTCAGTAAAAGCTTGATTGGGATGATTGGCCTCTGCAAATCATTAGAAATATTCAAATCTGACATTGCTAGTCAGAAGAAAGTCTCAATGTGTCTTATAGCCTCTTTCAGAAGCCTGTAGCTCCATATAGCCATCTCAAGACTCCTCCAATAGTTGGGGTAAAAGAAGGAAGAAATCGGTGTACTAGTCTTTTGCATATCTGGAGTGAGGTTAGAGTGTGCCAACAGAAGAGATTTCAACCCAAGAATCTCTCGAAAATTGTTTTTGGATTTTGAGCTTAGTTGAATTTTTTGAGAAAATTGAAATTGAGAAGTGCTGCTTTAGGAAAATAATGCAATCCGATCTTTGATATAATTCCGCTCAAAAATATTTGTACAAAGATCTTACTAAGTCAAAGAATTATGAAAAAGAAGAGCATATTATGAAATAAATTTTGATGAAAGCTCCATCAGCCTTTGTCGCTAAACCTCGAAAATAAAACAAACTTACGTTTGGGACCTCCAACCAAGATCCGAGAGTTTATAGTAAGAAAGGAGGATCATAGCCACCTGAAGCGGATGATCCATTAAAGCGCATAAGCCAATAGCCCATCTTATTCATCAGGTCACACTGACGAATGTACTCTTCCCTCTCTTGCTGCATTGCGTAATCCATTACTTAATTTTTATTCAACCGGGAGTTTTAGTACTGGGGTTTTGGGGTTTTGGGGTTTTGGGGGAT